TAAGTTTAGAAGTTCAGAAAATATACAGTTAGCAACTATTTTCTTACATATTTGCAGTGATAAACACTCATCATTATATCTCAATGTGTTCCACTGTTTTATTCACCTCATGACTCATCATGAAATATTTGTATTGTCTGCTGGACTGAAGGCACACTGCTATTCTAATAAAGTCTTCTTTATTCTAACTCTCATCATATGTTTGATTTTTTTCTACCATTGATTTGATTTCCACATTCTGTCTTCTGATCTAAGTCATGTCATTCATTGCATTAAATTCACTGCATTGATCAAAATTTCTTCACAGTGAATAAATGAAAGAACAACTTAGGGAATGAAAGATTTCTTCTAGTTCATGGCTCCTGGGTACGGGCTCAATTCATGATTTCTAGGCCTCTTGATTGGATGGAAATCAAGGTGCAAGAGTGTGTAGAGACAGTAGTCGGTGTGGAGAACAAGTGATTATGTGTGTTTGTCCCAAAATGGGGTAACTATAGACCTCTCCTACTCAACCACAAAGGGTCAGCGAGCATCAGAGTGGAAGGGACAGAAATTATTCTGGAAAGAGCTGGAGGATGTGGAAAAGCACTGTGAAATACTGCTGCATAAGGCATGGCCATTGCTCTGATGAACTCACAGCAGCTGTGATTCCTTGAAAGGTTTAAGTGACCTCTGCTATACCAGGTAGCTAGGGATGGGGGGAATTCAGTCCAGGGCCCAGGTTTCTGATTCTAGAGCTAATCTAATCACAGGTACAGCTCAGTTTAAGTAGTTATAACACTGGAGATTTAACATTGTAAGTATGCGTGCTTCCGTTCTTCTCTGGCAAGGGAAATACTGAATCCTTTCATTTCTTGATCATGTTTATTAACAAAATTCTTCTCAACTCATTGCCTACATCTTGGTCACCACCAACCACTTAAGGCTGGCAACAATTTTAAGAATGCTACTAAAATGATGTGAACTATATTGTCTCAGTCCCTGTCCAGCGACTGGTTAACCCCTTTCAGCCTGTGCCTGCTACTCTCTCGGGACTTTATTGTGAGTGGTTGTACTAGAAACAGTTGCTCATGTCGTGGAAATGTCATTGTTTATGTTCTCACACTTGTCACCAATAACAAATAGTCACATGGGAATGAATCATGCCCTGTGAGATAGACTAAGTTTCCCCTACACTCAGACATAAAGACATAATTTGTTTCTAGGCCAAAACATTATTAAGGGAATAAAGGAGTGACAAATCTCAGGACTCGAGGTAATATGTGGGCATGCCATCTGCCTTTGATTCTATGATCTCTGGGCCATAGAAAGGATCAAAATAACTTCCTGAGTTTGGGGGGGGAACAAATCAGAAGAGAGAAATGGAAGCCTGTGTTCTGATATCCAGACTCTGAAAGAATAGAGAAAGGGGAGCTAGAAAGAGACATTAGAAGCCATGGTATATATTCATGTGGAGTGGAAAGAGAAAACCCCAGAAATCCATGAACAATAGGGAACTTGCTAATGCAGTAGCTGATGCTGCTATGGAAAAGGACAAATAATGAAAAGAAATGAACAAATGAACAGCCAGGTTTACCTCCCTGAGAACAATGAAACACACCCACACAACAACTGATGAGTTCACAGTGCAGGGTGTGTGTGATCTTCTCAGATATATAGCTAGAGGGTCCCAATAGAGTGCATGCAACAGACCTTCAGAGAGACACATCTTAGATCAGAAATTCATTTGATCTTCATTTTTATTTAAGGACATAGACAAGGGAGCTCACTGGACTGTATTTTGTTTTTTGTATGTAGATCCATGATACCTCTTATCATAGAAATGGAGAACTCCAAGCCCAAAGGCTCATTCCATGTAGGTTTGGGCTGAACTCTATTAACACAAACTTAATTCCCTTTGTTATGTGTTTCCGCTGAAGTTATGTGTGCTGTTAAATACATCTCCAGTCCATTTATAGAAAATGACCTAAGCATCAAATGCTCTTTGAAATTCTCCTTTTGCCACACCTAGAGGTTGCACTCTTGGACTTTAAGTAGGTTTCCTTCAAAGAGAAAGTACTTTTGGATTCTAAGCCCTGACTCCAAAATACGATAGCTTAACTTCAAAAATTAGATGGGAGCCATCAGAAAACTCAGAAAAGAATTAAAGTCAAGTTCAAGCACAGTGGGACTGGAAATATACACCTGCTTCCTATTGCTCTTGAAACGAATCACCACCGGCTTATAGCAGTGCTATCTTCCAGCTGTGAAATCTGAAGCCAAATTTGGTCTCATTGGGTTCAAATCCAGTAGTTAGTATGCTTGGACTCCTTCTCCCAGTAGTAGAGGAAATCCACCTTCTGTCATTTTTCAGCTTGTAGAACAGCCCACATTCTTTGAATCATGAGCCTATAGTTTTTCTTACCTGTGTTCTCCACTTTCCTGTCTTCATAGAGACTTTTTACATTGGACATACAAGCAGCCTCTCCCTCTTGGGATTCCTAACTAGAAAACATGGTCAAAATACATGACAGACTTGCAAGAAATTGTCTATAGGAAACCCAGCATTATGTGCAATAAGCGTATGACAATAATTGGGATATAAGAGAGGAACAAGGCAGGCCACAGAAGAGGACACTAATAAAGCATGGAGTCAGCAAAGGCTTCAATGAAGAAATTAAAAAACAAAAAAACAAACAGAAAAAAACCCCAGACAATTAAAAAAACATTTAAGACATAATTAGCATTGCATAAAAGAGACCTGTAAATGTCTAATGAATACATGGGAAGACAGCTCATTAGTCTTCAAGGAAAACCAAATTAAGTCGGTGATGAGAAAATCCTAACTAGCTACTCTGTTAGTCAATGTCCCATCGCGGTGACAAAATGAGATAAACAACTTAAAAGTAAACGTCTACTTTGGCCTTGTGGTTTCTGAAGTTTAGGTCCACAATCATTTTGTTCTATTGCTTTTAGGCTGATGGTTGAAGCACTGTTATCAGGGCAGAAACATGGGAGAAATGAAAGCTGATTGCCTCATGGTTGCCGAGAAAGAAAGACAGAGACAGAAGAGCCAAGCCCCAATCTATATTGCAAGTGTTTGCTCTCAATGATCTCGTTCCTCCAACTAGGTCATAACCCCAAGCTTTTCTTAACAATCCCATCAGAAGAGGACCAAGCTTTCAACACACGGTTCTGATAGAAATTTAAGAGCCAAACCATAACAGATACACAATAAAAACAGCTGAAAATCCAGACCGAAAATATCAAGTGTAGATGAAACCAAAAGCAATGTGAACAACCGACTGTGTATTGTATGTATCATTGCGACCTTATGTGTGTGCAGGTGTGTTTATGTGGGGAGGGGTACACACATGTGTGCAGCTATGGATGCATGTGTGTACACATGCTTGTGGAGGACAAAGGTCAACCTTGGAGATTCCTCAGGGAGCCATTCACCTTGCTTGAGCTGATCTTGCATTGGCCTGGAGCTTGTTGATTAGGTTAGGCTAGGTGGCCCTAAAGCTCTGGGGATTTGCCTATACCCTCCTCTATGGTGCTAGGATGACAAGCACAAGCCTAACATCTTGCTTGACATCTTTTACAAGAGTTCTAGGGATCAAGCTCAGATTCTCATGCTTGCTTGGATGGTAAGTACTTTACCAACTGATCTATCTGCCCAATCCATGTAGCTGTTTATTTAAAAAAAAAAATTTGGGAGCTGTATGCTAATCTTTATTATATTCACAATTTGGAACCCAGAATTTTCCCTCAAAGAACATATCCATAGATGTCTACAAACTTGTAGACAGATAAACAGACAAATCATCATAAGGGTATGATTTGTAAAAATCTTAACGATAGTAAACTGTCCATTGAGGACATAATGAGTTAAAAATATATAAGGCCTTGTCATGCAATGAGAGTTAGTAGATTATACCCTTATCATACAATTATATGAAATGATCAAGTAAAATTAAAGACACGACTGCTGAATACAACAAAGCCATTAAATCTCACAAATATAAGTTTGAGCAAAAGAAAACACACCATAATGAGATATATTATTTCATTCTTAATAAAACTCAAAAGTTGACCCACTGTGAGAGAAAACACACACACACTAGTTGCCTTAGACAGCAGGGTAAAGACTGTAATTATAAAATCAAGGACATACATACTGGACATTCACACACTGTCACCTGATATGGAGGACATATGATTTCCTATATCATATATGGTCATATTATATATTAAAGGGTATGCTCTTCTTTGAAATTATGATACAAGTAATTTTAAAATGAAGGTGTCATTTTATGGCATTTAATTTCCTCATTGTCTTCTGGTAAACAGGGTTTATATCTAAACTGGCCAATGCGTTCTGGACCCCCATGTCTGTGTTCTGAACCCCCCATCTCTGTCTTCTGAACCCCCATGTCTTCTGATCCACCATGTCTTCTGAACCCTATGTCATCTTATGAACACTCGTGTCTTCTGAACCTCCAGGTCTTCCTTCTGACTCTGTATTCTGGCTTTGGTGTTCATGGTTATGTTTGAAAAGTAACTACGGACCACCTTCTTGGGATGAATTCTTTGATAAAACTGGTATAAAATTGGTACCATTGGTTGCAGATAGGCAAGCCTGTTGTAGTGTAGAATAAGCAAATGTCTCTGGGAAACAGTTTGGACTCAGGCACAGCTTCATTTAACTGCTGTGAATGTAGCTCTCCATACAAACACATCTTCTGTGGCCACAGTGACTATCTGAGCAGATGATGATCAGAACAGGAACAATGCTGATGAAGACTTCTAGAAATTTCCTTCCTCAAATTATCCACAATTAACTGCTTACATCATAATTTCAAAAGATTTCTAAAAAAAAACTCAAGGAACAACTTCCTGATGTGAGAATTTCCTCTTGAAAAACAGAAAACAAACAATAAGGAAAAGTCCTGCTTATTGGTTTCTTCATGAGATGTCCAGGGTATAAAAACCCCACATCTGAAAGAGTTGTCAGACTCTCAGAAACTCCTGTGAACAGAACTCCTCCCTCCACATCCAACAACATCATGACCAACTCCTGCTGCTCCCCTTGCTGCCAGCCCACCTGCTGCAGGACCACCTGTTGCAGGACCACCTGCTGGAGACCAAGCTGTGTGACCAGCTGTTGCCAGCCCTGCTGCCAGCCCAGCTGCTGTGGCTCTAGCTCCTGTGGCTCCAGCTGCTGCCAGCCCTGCTGCCAAACCACCTGCTGCAGGACCTGCTTCCAACCAAGCTGTGTGAGCAGCTGCTGCCGCACACCCTGCTGCCAGCCCTGCTGCTGTGTGTCCAGCTGCTGCCAGCCCTGCTGCCAGCCCAGCTGCTGTCAGTCCAGCTGCTGCCAGCCCAGCTGCTGTCAGTCCAGCTGCTGCCAGCCCAGGTGCTGTATCTCCAGCTGCTGCCAGCCCTGCTGCCAGCCCAGCTGCTGTCAGTCCAGCTGCTGCAAGCCCTGCTGCCAGCCCTTCTGCCTCAACCTGTGCTGCCAGCCAGCCTGCTCTGGACCTGTGACCTGCACCCG